CTGATTCTGAAACCAGAAAAGGGCCTAATCAAAAAAACAGATCAATAGGCCAGTGTCTTTATTGAACAGTGACATAAAAATCTTCAACAAGATACTGGCAAATGAGATCCAACAACTCATCCAAAACATACACAAATACACACACACACACACACACACACACACACACACAAACATGACCAAGAAGGACTCATCCCAGGGATGCAAGGATAGTTCACTATAAGCAAATCAATAAATGTAACACATCACATAAACAGAAATAAGAACAAAAACCACACGATCATTTTCCTTGACTCAGGAGAAGCTTTTGATGAAATCCAATATCATTTCATGATTAAAACTCTAAGGAAAATAACGCCATGTTGGAACTTAGGACACTGGGAAGCCAAGAAAGCACCTCCCCTCCCTGGTAAGCGTTGGTGGTCTGGCAGACTGCGGTCCCTCCAGGGGGAGAACCAGCAGCAGCTCCTGAGATCCACACCATGTTGGAACTTAGGACTCTGTGAAACCAAACAACCAGGCTGCCTCCCTGCTAAGCAATAGTGAACCTACTGATACGTGGCCTAGAGTCAAATATCCCACTTCCCCTATCCCCCCCCACCCCCACTGCCCATTAGCAAATGGGAACCAGAAATCTGAGCATCTCCTTGGAGGCTGACCATAGCAAATAAGGGAGACTTCCTTTACTATCTCTTTGAAGGAAAATATTTTTATTACTGTATTGCTCTTTTCTGATTAATGGTACTGCTCTATTCAGTATTCTGTTTTGATGGGTTCTATAGTGTTCTATATTTCATCTCATTTTGATATATGGGATTGAAAGAACAACTATTATAAAGATAACAAAATATACTCTGATACCTATTACTGTTATCCCGGTAACCTGCTGTGAAGTTCTGTACCAATTTCACTGTACGATCTTAGTTGCCTTTATTCTGTCTTGTTCTGTTGTATACTTTCAAAATAAAATAAAAAAAAACTCTAAGGAAAATAGATGAAGAAAGACCTTATCTCAATCTGATACAAGACATTTATGAAAAACCAACAGCAAATATCATCTTAAATGGTGAAAAGCTAAAAACTTTCTCTCTAAATGAGGAAGAAGACAAAGATTCTGCTATCAACATAATGTTCAATATAGTTCTTGAAACATCAAGAGCAGTCAAACAAGAAAAAGAAATAAAAGAGGTATGTACAGGAAGAAAGAAGCAAATTATTATTCTTTGCTGAGGGCATGCTCTTCTACATAGAAGACCAAAAAAATTTCAACAAAAGACTCATAGACTTAGTAACCCAATTCAGTAGAGTAGCAGGATATAAACTCAACACACAAAAGTCAACAGCATTCCTGTATATAGATGGTAAAATCATCAAGAAAGAAATTCAGGAACTAAGACTTTTCATAATAGTATCAAAAAAACCTGAAATACTTAGGAATTAACCCAACCAGAAATTGAAACATCTCTACAAAGAAAACTACAGTACTATGAAAAAAGAGATCAAAGCAGACATCAGAAAATGGAAAAATCTCTCCTATTCCTGCTACATAAAACAGTATAGTTAAGTGGCTATAATTCCAAAATTTATATATAGATTTAATGCAGTCCCAACCAAAATACCAACAACATTCCTCACATAACTAGAGAAATCATCAACACAACTGGAGTTGGAGGTTCCTTCTGACACACAGACCACCACCTGAGTGTGGGGCAGGCCTTCTGGCTGCAGAAGAATTGTTCTCTACAAAGAAGAGAGTACCCTGAGCAAGCCACCAAGAGCCACCATCAGCAGGTACCAAAGAGCAGATGACATCTTAGAGACAACGGGGTCCAACTCAAGAACCTCTCAAATAATTAGGACAACCTAAAAGGTTTAAATCCCCAGATTTTAAAAATATTTGCTAGCCCTTCTTCCACAAGAACAATGTTCTTACTTTAAAAAAAGAGAAAGAAAATAGTATTTCATAACTTCTCTTTGCTCTTGTAGTTCATTATAGTTTAACTAAAATATATCATGATATGGTTTTATTTTCATTTTTATTTATCATGCCTTGCAAATCTAAGGAATCTTGTTCTAGTACATCAGGAAGTTTTTCAGCATTTTTTTCTTTTGTGTAGTAGACAGCTTCCCATCACTATAATAAAATGTTTGAGATTTAAGTTATAAACAGAAAAGGCTTATTTGGCTCATGCTTTTGGAGAATTTAGGCCAAGAGTAGGTGACTCCTTGCTTTGGGCTTCCTGCTAACTTATCACGAGGGGAAGGCCCAGTGGAAGGGCCAGAAAGCAAAGAGAGGAAAGATCAGGCAAGATTCCCACAGTCTCAGGGCATGCTGACAGTGACCCGGGCCCCTCTCAGCTGGTCTCATGTCCTTCTAAAGGTCTGGCATCTAACTACAGCCCAGGGGCCAAACTTTTAACACATGGACCTTGAGGAGGGCATTCAACATCCAATCTATGGCATTTTGAATATTTTGTCTCATGTACTCTCAATTCTCTCTTTATGGAGCATCTATTTTTTTCTTAATTTTTTTTTTTTTTTTTTTTTTTTTTTTTTGTCTTTTTCCTTTTTATATTGGTACCGGGGATCGAACTCATGACTGCCTGCTTGCAAGGCAGGCGCTGATGCGGCTGAGCTAAACCTCCAGCCCCCTATGGAGCATCTATTAAAAATGCGTTTGAAGGGCTGAGGATATAGTTCAATGGCACCATGCCTGCCTGGCAAGTGCAAGGTCGTGAGTTTGACTCCCAGTACCAAAAAATAACAAAAAAAAAAAAAAAAAAAAATGAAGTTATCCCTCTCCTTTTGAATTTTTCTAATTATATTTTCCATCTTTTTAAAAATCTTCTAGTTGCTCTCTGGAGCATTTACTCAGATCTATTTCCCTGTTTTTGATCTATACTTTAGTCGTGTCTGATCTGCCTTTTAACTAATCCATTGCCATTTTAAAGTTAAAATTTTCATTCAAATGTAGTGCATACAAATATCTATAAATCATAACCATGAACTCAAATGATTTCCACCAACCATGCTGTGAAAGTACAGTCTAGACCAAGAAATTGAATATTGCTAGCACAGGTAGATTTCCCCCGCTCCTGTCAGTCAGCAGTGCCCCTGCCAAGGCAAGAATCCTGACACCATAGATTAGTTTCATTAGTCTTTGAACTTAATCTAAATGGAAATTTCTATTTGAACTCGTGGCTTCTTTTACTCCACCTTGTGTTTGTGAGAGCCATTATCCACTTCTCATCATGTTTAATACTCTATCACATTAAGATGCTATAAATTACCTGTTGCACAATTATGGAAATCTGGATAGTTCTCCATCTGAGACAGTTATTAATAAGACCATATGGATACTGGATACTCGTGTATATGTTGTTTAGTGCACATATCTGCCTTTTGGTTGGGTGTATATCTGGGAGTGGAGTATCTGGGTCTTGGTATCTATTACATTTCCATTACTGCTATGACCAATTGCCACACATTTAGTAGCTTAAAACAACACAAATTTATTATCTTATAATCATATTTTAAAAATTGAAAAGCCCAATATAAATCTCACTGGCCTACGATCACGTGTTAGCAGGGCTGTGCTCCTTTTTGGATATTCCTTTCTAGGGGAAAAGCCAATTGCTTGTCTTCTCTGTCTTCTACAGTCAACTTTCTTTCTTGGGTTCGTGGGCATCTTCCTCCAGCAACTTTGGTTCAAATTCTCACAGCTTCCCTTTCCCACTTTCAAGGACTGCAGTAATTACTCTGACTTACCCAAACATGCAACAATAATCCACCTGTTTGCATGGCAATTTCAATTTTATCTGCAATTTTAACTCTTTACCACATCACCTAAAATACTCACTGGTTCTGGGCTTACAGCATCTCTTAGAATCCATTATTATTTCTAATGCAGAGTATCATCTGTTCGGTTTCACTTCACTGTGCCGTAGTTTCCAAAGTGGCTGTACTCACTGACAATTTCTTACCAGTATAGAAGAGCTCCAGTTGCTTGATATCTTTGCTAACTCTTGTATTGTTATTTCTTTGTATTCACTTTGGTGGTACTGTACTGGTATTTTACTATAGTTTTGATTTGTATTTCCCTATTAACTAATGATGTTGAGAATCAGTTTGAACATCAATTGGCCTTTAGAAAGCTGTTTTTCTGAAGTATCTATTTGTTGGGGTTTATATCTTTGCTGTTAATCTGTAAGAGTCTTGTAGGTACTATAGATACTAATCTTTTATTAGTTGTATGTATTGTAGGGTTTGCTTTTTTATTCTCCTAGTGATATCTTTTGACAAATAGCAATTTTTAATTTTTATAGTCCAACTTTCATTTGTTCTTAGTGTTTTATGATTATTCTATCTAAGAAACACTTACCTAAATATATTGTTCTGTGTTTTTTTTTAGGAAACTTATTTTTATATTTAGGTACAAATTTTCCATAATGCTAGAATTTTTCCACAATGTTAAGAATAAATCAAAATATAATTTCTTCATATGAACATCCAATGAACAAAAATTTAACTTTTAGATAATATGTTTTGTTTTTCACCAAATCTTAATTTAGTCTTACCTTCTTCATAAGGCAAACGTGCTTCCCTGACTTTTCCACTTGAAATGTAATCTTTTCATTTTTAGGATATCTATTAATTTCTTTTTCAAATAATATTTTTGTAATTCCCAAATAGTACCTGTGTTACTGTAAATGGTACTTCAAATATTCGTATTATGTTTTTAAAATATAGTCTCTCCCATGGGCGTACAGATGTGTTATTTCAGAGTATTGGATGACTAATTTCCAGTTTGCTGATTTTCTCATAGTGTAAACCTTTCTGTATGACTTTAATTCTTTGGTGTGTGCCTACACACAACAAGCATTGTTTGTGTAAGTTTGTGTGTGTGTGTGTCTGTGAGTCACACACAACATACATTCTGGCTTGAAAATTTGTGCAAGTGTGTTTTTCTCATGCAAAATTGTTGTTTGACTTCTACGCAGTGATTCAGCAACCCAGCTATATCCATCTAGTGGCTCAACTATCTCCAGGAACAGCTGCAACTGTCGCTGAGAAATGGAAAGGGAAAGTGGGAGATCTCAAGCTTCCTCTTCTATGAATTAGCCAACAAGTGACTCATCCTACTCACCGTTTGTTAGTCAGAAATGGTCCCATGATCCTGGCTGATTGCAAAAGGTCAGGAATTTAGGGGAACACAGGGATATTTGGTGATAGTAAATATCCTTGCTCTTCTAATTACCAATTTTTTTTGTTTCTTCTTCCAGGGGGAGACCACTCACAGGCCCTCCCCTTTTATAAGGAAAGAACCCTGAAAATCCATCCAATCATTTCATGAAGTTCAGACTCCATCAGATCCAGACATGGCTCCTCTTTACCTTGAAACCTATGAACCAAAAGTCAAGATATCCACTCCTCCACAAGGTGGAGAAACACCAGAAAGATCAAACTAGTGAATGCATTCCTTTAGTAAGTGGAAGAAGGAAGACACACATAGTCATTGGTCCCTATCAAGCTTGAAAAGGCACTAGGCAATATCATACAGGCCCCTAAATAGAACAATTCCTTAATTATTATATATCTTCTTCAGGAAAGTTCTATAGTAGCAAGGTCTTGGAAAGTCAATTTTCTAGTTACTGATGCCTGATGACATTTCCCCATGACGGACTACTTTCTCTTGTGTCTTGTTTGTTTGCAAGCTGATCGTCAGCAGAGATTTACACATATACAAGTAAACTAGTCACATGTATCTCAAGGAGTAAAAATGTTCCTATCAAATTCTTCAGGGGATTTGTCAGTCCAAACTATATTTTTATACATCAGTTTCTCAGAGATTTCCACACTATGCAACATATGTAAATTTAGACTTATTCATAAACATACGTTGTAATTTAATTTCTTGGAAATATCTTGCCTTTTCTAATCTATAGGGCACTAATTTAAAATGTCTTTTGCCTCCCTCACAAACTCATTTCCCAGTTTTCTTTATTAGTAGTAATTGGCTGCTGAAAATGGTCTATATTTTCCCCCATCTGAATATTTCTACTTTTACTATTTATGTGTATGTCTTCAAAAATCATTGGTCTACAGTTTAAAACTCATACTAATGGAAAAACATGTTATTTCCTGTAACTATTCTTCTCCAGCAAACATAGTTTCTAGAATTAAATATACTGAAAAGTCTAAATCCCAGCTTATTTGTCTTAATTGTTATGTAGTATTCCCCTATAAAAACTTACTTTCCCCATCTCTATTAATAAAAATTCAAATTACTTCTTGTTTTCAGGATTACATATACTGTTGCATGAAGATTATTTGCATATATTTGTGGAAGTGTACTTAGGTTATTTTTTATGAAATTACTGAGTCACACCATATAGACATTTATTTCCTTTTTATTGATACAACCATTTTTGACAAACTGTCCTACAAAATGTTTGTACTAATTTACAGTCATATATTTTGAAAGAAAACGTGCAAGTATGTCTTCAATCTCCATACCAAAACTTTGTCTTACTAAATCTTTTTTTCCACATCACAGTGCTATTTCATTATGACTTTGATTTTGAGTTGTAAGATTAATAAGCTTAATTTTTTCCATAATTATTGCTTTTTAAAGTTTCTTCTATGAATTACCCATTTTCTTTCTGAGATTTGTATATTCATTTACTGGTTTTGAGAAAGTTTAATATTTTCTAGATGTAGTTCTTTGTCAGTGAAACATATTGTAATATTTTTCCTGGTTTTTGACCATCTCCGTGTTCCTTACTTGATCAAGATATGTGGAGTCTGTTTGCCTTCCTCACATCTTGCTACAGTGCTGTGTCTAGTATAGGATTAAGTAGCATTTTCATGTTCCTGTGGGATCTACGCTGACATTATGCTTGTAGCTGGGTTGGTTTTTTATTTTTTTATTGATTGGGACCCGGCACTCACCCTTGCTTTCCTGGAGCTACTTCATTTGATGGATCAGTAAAGGGCAAAACTGATGCATGTCTTAAAAATCATAATTTGAACATCAGTCAGAAGAAAGGTTTCCTGAAGGCTTTAACATGCTGGAAATGGTGGCTGGACTCAGGAAAACTGACCAGCTACGGAAACCATTGCACTAGGTTTCTGCCACAACTTGTGAGGTTAAATTTCAAGGGAACTTCAGAGAAGCAGGGAATCAATTTCTATTAGAGTCACTGTACACACAGGCTACCTCTTGGCAGCTCTTAAAGTGACTGGAGAGCCGCAGACAAGGACTCTCGTACCCGTAGCCAAAGCCTTTCTCTCAGGACCTCATTCTTTCTATCAACAGAATCAGAGAAAAGGATTTGATTTCTGAGAGTTTATTATTTTCATTTCCTCTGACTCAAAATATGTCCCTACTGGTCCCATACAATTTCTACCAGTAGGAACACTTCCACGGTTTAGTTGTGGAGACTCTAACAGAACGTTCTCTATCAGGCCTGAAAGCAACTCCATGTACCCTATTGAAATGCAAAATATAGTATTTGTCCAGTGTCTGTCTATCTTAGATTTCCAGGTAAAATTTGTAATCTGCTCTGTATTATATGTGGACATATTTTAATGGTAAAAATTATGTATTTGAAATTTAAAATTCAATATCTTAAATTTAATATTCAAATAAGTGGAAAAGATATTTGTCCTTGAATAATGAATAGCCTCTAGTTTGTGTACAATAAGACCCAGGAGGCTATGTTTCCTGGATCAAAGACTTTCTCCATACTACTACAATCCCAATGTGTATAGGACACACGGTCATATTGTCTATTTGTTGTCCTTCAAATGTGTATATTATTAGATAGCCAGAGGGCTTTATTGATGCCATTTCCAAGCCAAAATGCTTATCTTCCACTTCTTAATTTGTCTCAGATTTTAAAGAAGATCCTGACTCTCTGATCAGATTTCTCAAGTTCATTCCTTCTTGCAGTGTTGACCCCAATACAAAACACATGGATCACTACCAAGGCCACATGCTCCTCAAGATAAGGCCCAGGCCTTGATTTTCCTAGTTAATTTAAGTAGGGAAGTCCTTTCCTTACTTACAACTACTTTTTCAACATGCTGTTAGGATACATGCCCTAAGCTTGTAAATGAAACTACCCTCTAAGAAGAGAAAAGAGGAGGAGAATTTACATGGATGGAGTGTATGGTGTAAACAGTAGTAACACACTTAAGCACATCACACTGACACTATAAGTAGGTTTGTTGTCCACATTGTATCTCTAAGCATACTGAGTCTCTGAATGCTTATACAGCTTCTTCAAATACCACATTCCTGGAGAGCTGGAACACCAGCTCTTAATTCCCTGATTCTGGGTCTTAATGTGTTTTGGTTTTTGTTTGTTTGTGGTTGTAAGGGTTGAATCTACCTTTTTTTCATTTTTTGTTTTGAGACAAATTTTCACTAAGTTGCTAAGTTGTCCATGCTGGGGTTTAACCTTGTGATCCTCCCGCCTCAGACTCCCAATGAGAGTGCACAGATGTGCACCACCACACCCAGCTAGTTTAAATCTTTAATTATGAGGGGGTAAAGAGAGATAAAGGCATAGTATAGGCTAATTAATGTAGGTGAAGGGCAAAAGTAGCCATTCAAGGTACAGTCTATGGTGAAGGGTGGGAAGTGATGTCCTTTCCAACTGACAGAACTAATACTTTCTAATAAGAAAACAGATCTTTTTCCCTAGAGAGGATGGTCTTAATTATATCCAAGAGAGGCAGGTCTGAGACATGAGCCTGACCTTGAGGAGCACCAGAGAGTGATCATATACAGTATATAAACTGACAATGTAAGACTTATTCCCAGGCTCCAGCGGGCATCACTGAGCAGCAGGAAAGCCCAGCGCCTTGGAAAGAGAGGCAAGAAGCAAGAGCACCATCCATCTGGAAAGAGCACTGTATTATAACTTTCCTCTCACCACTTGGCCTCCGGCTGTTTTGATTATTCAGGTCTTCTCTGTCATGTGACTCTTCCATAGAGAACACTAATTTCCCCAGAACCCACTTCCTTTCTTCCAGTTGACCCCTTCCAGAACCCAAACTCTTGCCCAGCCTGTCAGTCTGATGCCATGCATGGCCACCACAATCATGCCCGCTCAGCATTCCCACAGATGGGTATCATTTTCCATGGAAAATAATATTTTTCTTCTGCCACGATAACATCCCCAAAATTAGGGGGAAAAGCCAAGAACTACTATTTCACAAGTCATGCTTCATTTTCCCCAGCTTGATGCAGCCCAGGGCTGAGGGTTTGTTTACTAAGAAGCCCCAGTAGGAACACGGGGGGCTGAGTATCTGGTGAGACCTTTGTCCTTGGAGTCTGGCGACTCTTTTGTAGAGTCTCTCCGAGTAGGAGACTATATAATGGTGTGGGAATGGCATAATATCCTGCTGGTTGGTGAGGCTTTGTCACATTGCTGAAGGCCAATTCTGTGTTCCCTGCTGGGTATCTAATGCCCAAAGACACTCAGCTGAATTATATATTAAGAATATTTTCCTAAGTCATTCATGTTAGATTATAGGCTATAAACTGCTTATTTTGTCTGTCCGCCATAAATATAAAGCAATCATTTTTAATGCAAGCAGCTGTTGGGCTGGCTTTCTGAAGATGCTTTGCCCAGGGACTTACATTCCGCTGTTTTCTCCTTTATCAAATGCACTGCTGATTGTTTTTCTGCTCCACTGCATACCACACACGTGGTGGTTGTGGGAGTATAAATTTTCATTGCAGGGCTTTGTTTGGATACAGGATTTCTAAAAATATCCAAAAGGAATTGAAGGTACAGGGAAGTAAATTAAGTTATATGAAATCCAATGACTTAAACCCTCATCACAGCCCTGTTTTGAGAATAACCTTGGGAACACCGACCTGTTTTCTGACCTCTAACAATAAAATATAGGACTGTGAATTATTTTTCTTGAAAACACGTTCCTATATTTTATTGAAGATGAGCTTATTTATTTTCATAGATTTGTTGAATATATATATTTATTAAAGACATATTTTTGAATTGTACTTATCAGAGATTTTATGTTATATTTATTATTTTTAAATCTTTTCTTGGGGGTTACAATATGCTAGATAGTGAAGGTATAGAAGTGAGACAAAATTTACTTAATATGTTCTCTCCTCTTACAGGCCAGGGAAGTACACTATGAAAAACAGCCCCTGACTTATAGTGCATTAGTTTACATTTTTCAAATTTTACACCTGTATGAAAATGGTACACATTGAGTAAAGCTGTGCTTAAACTTCTGAGCAGCACAATTCATAACAGCTAAATCTTGGAAAAAGCTTTTATGTTCATGGACAGACGAATGGATAAAGAAAATGTGTTATTTATACACAGTGGAGTACTACTCAACTGTAAAGGATGGACTTGAGTCATTT